CTTAGTATTATTAGTTCAGACAGCCAGCAGGCGCATCTGTAGAGAGTAGTGTAGGCAAGGCCACTGACTCTACTCTACTAGTCAGACTCTAGTCTACGATCGTCCTATCGCATTTTCAGTGCACCGGACCTGTGGCACGCATTGCCTCTGAGATGAAGATGTCACACAGAAGAACTGACGTCCACATCGAGATCAATCACCGCGAGTTGACTTTCCAACAATCCAGTTGTGTTCAAAGACAAGTGCGCATTGAATACACGTATGTAGTGTGAATAATTGTATCACCACGTGAACCGTTTTGACAGGGTAGGGCCCAGCCACTCAGCGTACATCTCAGTAACAATTCAAGGTGAAAATACAGGGCACTTTAAAAGTCTATGCATAATTATAGCCACGTGTGACTGATGGGTTTCCTAGGTCCGAACTGGATCATTTGAACTACATTCCTACATGGCTACTTCCGCTTGTCTAACCCCTATTTAAAGACGAAAATTAATGATAGTACAATGTAGTAGCCGACTGGCCGAAATTAAAAAAAAAAACTACATTGTAGTTTGTACTTCAAGTTGTGCCTTGCAATAATCACGTACCATGCCGAGCAAAATACCTAGCACAGAATCAGATACAGTGAGTTCCTATACTATAGCAGCGTCAGAACTCCCATTCTGCCAACCATCAAGTCATGACACACTAAAAAACAAGATGGGGGGGGGGGGGCTCAGACATCAAAGACCAGCATGCAGACCAGTGCCTATTCACGCCAGAATGAAAACAGTCATGTAGTTGGAACAATGCAGGGAAATATTGGTCTCTGACGAGATTTGTAAACAGCAGCAGCCTCGTCAGTTTCAGACAAAGGAAATTCCACTAAGCACATGCACTTCAAAATGTTCTCCACTTTTGATTGTATAGACTAGTAAGTAGAATGAATAAGTGGTAGTGATTTCGGCTGTGATTTATTAGCAAAGGGTTTGCGACCTCCAGTGTGGGGAGCAAACCCTTTCCTAGTGGTATAATCAAGAATCGTTTCATCAAGAGTCAATAATCATAATCAGTCTGTGCTACCTTGAACTTTGAAGAGCCCAAAGCATGTAGTTGTCGCAAAAGAAATCCAACCTCAACTTGGTGAGGGCTGCGCAAGTTTTCACTCAGTATGTACCACTAGCCCTTTGGGGGGATACCAGTAATGCTCGAAAAAGGGGCAGATTTTTGCTCGAGAAGTGAAATTGTCCTAACCAAACAAACCTTATGACAGGCACTTCCTTGATTTCTGCTCCATTTCTTTATCCACATACCAAACATGCACGTCACATAGCACCAGGAAAGATACCACATTCTGCCATTTTCCTGCCAGCACTGTCTGCCAAGGGCTATGCACTACGTGTACTGGTCAAGTAACTTAGTTTAGGGTGAGCTCGCAAGATATAAGGAGCCTCCAAATATGCATGGGATACAGTAAAAGCTGTCAAGGCGACCACTCGGATAAAGCGATCACCTGTCCCAGGAGACCACTGTCACCAGGACCAAGGGATGTTATTCCCAGTCAAATGACCCTGGATAAGGAGATCACAGAGTTTTAACTTTTATGATGATGGCAATTTGCGGAAACGCTCAATGGAACTGGTTAGTGGATTTCGCAGTGTATCTAAGAAGATGGGTGTATCCACCCAAATCCGTTCTCTTCAGATCAATTCAATTTTTAGGAATGTGTGAACATATGTTTCTGCTAGTGATCAGCCCATATGGTATGGCAACTGGGAACTGAAAGTGGCCAGTGAATGAACATGCTCCGACGTGAGGTGCCGAGATCTTGGCAGCTTACGAAACGCCAATGTTTCGTGTCGTTGCGCTCGGGCTCGGGTGTGTGTGTGTGGGGGGGGGGGGGGAGAGAGAAAATCTGTCTCTTAGAATACATTTACATCCATTATACCGAGTATCATCCGAGGAAAGCATACATGCCTTCTGCAACAGTGAAGACGCTCTTAGCTAAACAAATTGCTGCTGTTATCGGACAAGCTACAAGTGTAATAGGCAAGCGCTGTGCAAATTGGCGCAGCGATTAGGCGTCCGTATATGGCAGGTGCCGCTAAGAGATGTTCTACTGGATGCCGAGCCATGAAGAGTTTTGAGAACTTTTCACAGCCCCGGGCATGTAGCTAACACATTCATAGCCCAGTGGAGAGCGGCGTAAACATGCTCAGTCCAGACAAAAGTACAGTAAAACCGGTCAAGGTGACCACTCGGATCAGGCGAGCACCTGTCCTAGAAGACCACAGTAACCAGGACCGTGGGATGCTATTTCCAGTCAAACGACCCTGGATAAGGAGACCACCTGGTAACAGAGACCGCATTTTGAAGGTCCTTTGAGCGGTCGTCTTAGACAGGTTTCACTGTGATACGTGCAGCAGCGAATCAACAACTCATCGCGAGGCTATTGGGTTGACTCCGTTGATAAAACAATTGCCAATAAAATTGCACCCTGGGCGATGTCCTGGGCGATGAGCTAGCGGTATCTACCATATTAGACGAGTATGCTAATACATACTTGAGTACAGCGCCTGGCGTGGGGGGGGGGGGAGAAAATTTCGCAACACCTGCCCAGCTGGTTTACAACACAGACTCATGTGTCTCCAATTTGACTAGGCGCGGGGGGAGAGATTTCCCAAATCTTCAAGGTACAGATGGGTTACCGGTATGAGTGCAGTAACTCAGGCATATTCTCGTCTTCAATATTCACAGTACCATACGCTAGTACAGCACTACTGTCAGTCGCCGAAGAACTTGCGGGTCAGCCACCTAGCCTAGTCCGTTCTCATGCCCATGTACTACAGTCGATGGGCAGTTGAGTCCTCGTGTATACATTGGTATGCTGTGCTTGACGAAATTCTAGCCTGGTCGTTCTTCGGCACCCGACGGTGCTGTATATACAGAAAAAATGTACTTTCTGACTTGATTGTGTATTCTAGCAAAAGCTTGGAGAAGACGCCGCCTATGGCGGCATTGGCTCAGATAAAAAAATGCTCTGGTTGCTGGTATGTGACTTATATCAAGCTCTGGACTCACACAAACCCAGCCGTGGCACGACTCGTGTTACTATTAGTTGTCAGTTCGGTTTCCCCAACTACCAATGCAAGCCACCATGGTATTGCCAGGTATTCCGGCATGTAAATATAGAGTCCAGTGCTCTCCACCTCGTCACCAATTACTTTGAACTGAGTCACACATACTTAGGGATCCACTTCGTAGCTACATTGGTCTGCGGCAATTATGCAATAAACAAGCCAAGCCCACTAGAGAGTAATCAATCTCACCACCGCTGTTGTGTATTTGTATTTGTATTTATGGATTCTCCACAGGCCTTAGCCTAAATCGAGGGAGTCTCTCTGTTCAGGTCACAAATACAGACATACTGTCATTACTGATGGTGGAATGGGAGGCAAACAGGGCATCTCACTATGTTTCTTGCTTCTCTAAAGATGAAACATTCTTTAAAAACCGCAATCAATAAAACTAGCTGAACCGACATTTGTGTACTTTATTCATGCAATGTAAAAACTGTGGAGACGATGTGCAATAAAACGATGAAAATATGAAGAAATGGTGTAGGGAAAAAAAAATGGATTCAAACAAGTTTTAGTACACAAATGTCGGTTCAGCTAGTTTTATTGATTGCGGTTATCAAATTATTGTCTCCTCGCCGTGTGTTTAAACATTCTTTAAAAAGCATTATTAGTGAACTTGTGACATAATTATACGTCAAGTCATTGCCATGGTGACAGTGGCTCTAAATTTGGCAACCGATACGCATACATAAATTAAATGATGGTTTTCAAGTGTGGGTTTTTCTTCTTTTTTCTTGTCTCTTTCTATGTTTCTTTCTGTCCTCCATCTTTGTTAGTTTAGTATATTCCGTTTTGCCATGGTTAGCTCTCACCCTTCATCTCAACTCAATAAACGGCAGCCTTTTGGCGTGCCTGGAGATGTCGTGGAGATGAATACATATGATGATAGGCATACTGTAGAACTCGCATACTGTGATAGCGGTATCTGCGGTGCGCAGGTAAAGGCGCAGTTTCCCCATGTACATCTGATAAAACTTGTTTGCGCCAAGTATTGTCACGCAGAGTTTTGGGTGGCTTTCGACCATGGCACCTTTCCGCGGCCACGTGATATTGGCCAGCTTCTGCAATACTGGAACAGCGCCACCTGCACCATCTAAATACTGCCTGGTTACTGCATGGTTCCCATGACAACAATGCTTCCGCACACCATGATCCACACGGTTGGTTCAGTGAATTGTGTTTACATTAGCCCTTCGGTGGATAATGCCGGCAGGAACATTGGCAGAATTCGGTACGTTTTCTGGTAAGGTTCATGCATGTTTGGTATGGCTCATGCATGTTTGGTATGTGGATAAAGAAATGGAGCAGAATTCAAGGACGTGTATGCCATAAGGTTTGTATGGTTCTGGCAATTTCACTGCTTTTCCAGCTGAATCCGCCAATTTTTCGATAATTATCCGCCATGAGCTAGTGCATAGCAGACTAGGGTAAAGGAGTGGAGAGCACCCAGCCTAAAACACAGGACAGCCTTGTCTGCAAGACCTGATAACTAGTAAGCAGGATGAATGGAGGGAGGTAGGGAGAGAGAGAGAGAGAGAGAGAGAGAGAGAGAGAGAGAGAGAGAGAGAGAGAGAGAGAGAGAGAGAGAGAGAGAGAGAGAGAGAGAGAGAGAGAGAGAGAGAGAGAGAGAGAGAGAGAGAGAGAGAGAGAGAGAGAGAGAGAGAGAGAGAGCGAGCGAGAGGAGAGAGAGAGAGAGAGAGAGAGAGAGAGAGAGAGAGAGAGAGAGAGAGAGAGAGAAGGGAGGAGGAGGTGTGTGTGTGTGTGTGTGTGTGTGTGTGTGTGTGTGTGTGTGTGTGTGTGTGTGTGTGTGTGTGCATACGTGCATATGTACGCATGCATGCTTGTGTGTGCACGTGTAAATGGAACGGTATGCCTCACCTTCAATCCAGAAGATGAACATCAGGGCTAGAAGCAGCAGTGTCCGGTTTCCAAGGCCATGGCGCCGACCACCAGCAAATGAATAGCCTATGCAAGCTCCTCCTCGTTGCCGACGAGACTGTCTGTCCGTGCTTGTCGACTGGGCAGCAGTGTGGGTACTTCTGGGCTGGTCCGTTGTTTGTCGGAAACGGTTGCCGTGCCTACTGCAGGAGTCTGGCATTGGGGACTGTCTACTCGCAGCAGTAATCCAGTGTGTACTATGTGATGACGGCTGTGCTGCAGTGGGGACTGCTCTGCCACAGTCCATACAACTGTCAGCCAGTGAGGCTGCAGAATCAGGTCTGTCTGGTGCTGGAGAGCAGGAGCAGCTGGTGGTGGTGATGTGCATGGTGTTGATGTGCTTCAAGCAGGGTTTGTGTGATTTTGTCACTGCTACTCAGACTCCCTGGTAACACTCATAGGGCTCCGGCCACTGTCTGCCAAGTGCTTGCAGTCCTGGTCATCCCCCAGCTGCTGGGAGCGACCCATGAACTGCATGGATGTGTGAGAGCGTGGCTATATTCCACGGCACTGCCCTCCTCCACGGACAGACACACACGTGCACCCACAAAAAGCAGTGTCTGACTGCACAGGAAACGGACCAGTGCAGCCCCCAGAACTCCAGCTGCACCACACACTACTACTGGTATGATGACTACTAAGCCCGTAGATGATCTACACGCTACCAATCCGCTACACGCTACAGCTCAGCTCAGTCCGTTTGTTGTGGCGATTTCACCAATGCACCACCAGGGCTGACAGGAAAGGTGCCACTGCAAGTGCAAGATACACTCAGCTATGCACCAGGCCACTGCATGCAGACCGAGGACGGCGTTGCATTCCAGCCAGAAACACTGGTCTAGTTTTTGACACCAGCCCAGCACACTGGTGCCGGGATTCCCTCCTGCTGCTTGGGCTTCACGGTACGGAGACAGCAAGCACCAACAAGCACTACTCTGTGATGTGAGCGCACTCGAGTCCTCTACACTGTCTGACAGCGAGCCAGAATGTATGGGCGAGTCAGAGTCCTCTTGAGTAACTCCTGCTCGTATTAGTTGTCCTAGGCACGGATAGGAATCCTAGGCTAAAAGGCTAAATGCGGAGTGGAGCTGGTCTCACATCCGTCTGAAATCGACTCACACAGGCTCACCTCGCAGCACAGACTGACCCCCTAGTCCTGACAGCTCTGCGTGAGAAGATAGCCCAGGATAGGCAGTGAAGTTCCAAACAAAACGCGTACCATGCGCCAAGAACTAGCCCACACCAACTGCACCACACTTCTGGGTAGATGGACAAGCGGCTCTCTGCCAAAGATAATTTTTCTACTCTGGGCTGTTCGAGGCGTTCAACATCATCTTGGTATGGGCGCACCGTGCCGACACTGCGAGTGTGACTCTGTGAGAGGATCGCGTGCTTCGTAGCCTGAGAGCGCTTCTGCAGTACGACAGTCACTGCAGCCTGCGTGCGCTCGTCTCCTCTGATTTTCCTGCGGTGCTAGCCCGATGGCTCTACTGCCAGTACTGGCGCTGGGCGCATGTTGACGATCCTGATTCGGCCTCGCAGCTATGCGCTGCGCTTCTCACAAAGCTGTCTGCTAAGATAGGGTGAGAAGGACTTTGGCACCTCGGGGGCCAAGAAGGCAATCCGCTGTGGCGCTGATGCATGGTATAATGGTGTAGCAGTGGATCATGGTGGATGGCGCAGCGCGGTGTGAATGCAGCTTCACTAACATCATGCATGCACACGACCGCCGTACTGCACTGTGTCCGCGAATCATCGTGCTGGGGTGAGAAACTCGGCGCAGACAGCATGGTGCAAATCAGCGCTTGCCACCCTACGCGCAAAGCCGTGCAGACAAGCCGGCCTGTACTGCTGTACTGCCTAGGACTACTCGATGCATTGCATTTCGCTGACCTGAAGCTGAGTGAAGGCCAGTTGGGTGCGCTGGCCTAGCGGCCAGGGCACGGATTGCATCCACTGTCATTAGGACATTAGGCAGACCCTTGGGCTTGCCTTGGGGCGATTTCTGCTTGAGCGCTCACGCTCCCAGCGCTGCTGCAGCAGACCTGCAGACCTAGTACCTGCAAAGGCTACATAAAGCATAACACGATGTAGCCAACTACCGATATCTAGGCTCAACGTGCTGGAGAGTTGCTCTCGTGCAATCATTTCAGCGCTGCTCGCGGCCACTAGTAGTAGATCTACTCGAAGCTAAACCTAACACTACTATTTGGCCTTTGCAAAAATTCGATGCCAAAATGCGAGCCGAACATGTGCGCACCATCACACACTTACACGCGTAGACTGAGAACGACTAAAGAGTCTACGTGCATGCAGAAAAATGCTTCTGAGATTTCGGGCCAGCCTAGCTTCCCCTGATAGTACTAGAGTAGTAGATCTAGACTGGAGAGGAGAGATTCTGCAGCACAGCTGACTGAGGACGGACGTAGATCGACGGGGTAGTCTTGGGCATTGATTTGTAGGTGTCAGACAGGAGCGTGCACTGCAGTGCTACTGCCTCACTGTTAGTACGGAGGATTAGCAAGACGAAATTCGCGTTCGCGTTCGCAAACATTTTTCAGTTCGCGAACTGGATTGCGAACTTTCGCATTTTTCGTTCGGAAAAGTAGTCGGAACACGAATCGTGGATTCGTGTCAGGACAGTCATAAATTTACCACGCTGTACTGCCTACAGTCCATTCAGAAAAAAATGAACTTCTAGCTTTTGGCCATAAATGGGTCAAACGTTGAGTTTTTTTAGAATTTTTTTCTGCAATCCCATATGGAATCCTCTTCCAATTATGTTTCTGAAGTTTTTTTGTCCAAAAAGCAAGCCATAGCAAGAATAGGATTTCGGCCAGGTTTTGCCCCAAAAGCACTGAATTGGGAAAAACCATCAAAATCCAGGCCGTTTGACCCCCGCCTGCAACAGTGCATTCTGCGGTTCGAACCCCAGTTCAGGCACCCTTTTTGGACCCTTTTTCAAATTTCAAAGTTCGCAGCACTGCACTGTGTACGATGAAATCACAAAAAATCGCCAAATACGGGAGCTCGCCAGAGCCAGGACCCATTTTTTTATGAATGGACTGTACGTCGTGTCAACATCATGCATGTGCGAATTCTGTTTGCTAATCCTTCTCATAACGCGAATTCTGTCACTGAGTTCGACTTTCTTTGGAGAGCGAACGCGAACGCGAATTTCGTCTTGCTAATCCTCCGTATACGCGTACTGTTAGTGTTACTGGCGTTGTCGCTATTATTGTACTACGTGTAGGTCACAGTTTGAGCTCCGAGCTCTCTAGACTCTACTCTACTGCTGACGAGTGACGTACTGTGCCTACTGACTCTTCAGTACGAGTGCAGTGGCGTAGATCTACAGGTGGATGGAGAGATTTTAATTTAATGTACTGCGTTGCCAGCGACCATTCATCTGGGTGAGACTGGGGAAGCATGCAGTCAGTTGCGTCTGTGGCATGCGGCAAGGCTCGGAAGTAAAACTGAGTTCACGCGTTTGGTAAACTCCCGATCAGAAGTTTCAGTTGATCACGTTCTTGTTGATTTCATGTAGATCAGTATGTCATTGTAGAGTCTACCTGCGCTGCATGTACCAATACCACACCGGCAAGTACTAAAAATAGATTCTTTGTACACGGGGCCGCACGTCCCAAGGCTCCGGCCTTCTCTCTGCCTCACGTGACATGGACCGGATGCAGCGCAGAGCATAATGCATGTCATTGTCTTGAAAATATGCAGAATTTTGAAATTTCCAATCGGCTCTCAAAGCCCGGGTTCAGCAATTATTACTAATCAGTACTGGTAACATTTTACTCTTTAGTTGTACTAGTACACATGGTACATGACTGTATAGTAAGTATTACACTCAGACGTCTCTTATCCCGGCACCTTGGGACCGGGCACTGCCCGTATCTCAGATTTGCCCGTATCTCAGGATAACTCATCTACCATGTATCATTATCATTTTTGAAGAAGTTTTTTTGGCGCATATTGCACCTGTTCAGGTTACAAAAATAATCCATGGATAAAAATGTGTGGATTACACAGGTTGGGAGTGACAGATAAGCACTTGTGCATTCGGAAGAAAAGTTCAACCCCCCAAATTCGAAGCATTTTTGCCATAGGAACTCAAGCTGAGGGACCTGGGTGGCCGGTAGAGAGACGTGCCCGTATCTGAGGCGTCCGGATAAGAGGCGTTTGAGTGTACTTGTAACATGGAAAGATTTGGCCACAAGTAAACAGTTACATGTACAGTGTAGCTAGTTAGTTTTTGAAACTCGGATGATGAGCCCATAATAAAAAATAATAATAGCGAAAGTCAGAAAGTGCAACAACTAGTAGTAGGCAGAAAACTGACAAAGACAAACTGTACTGGGACTGAGAGAGAGTGAGCGTGACATCTTCGGCGACCTGACACCTTGTAGCTCCAATACTGGCAATAGGCATTGGCGGATAATGCTCGAAAAGGTGGCAGATTCTGCTCGAAAAGTAGTGAAATTGGCAGAACCATACAAACCTTATACTTATAGCGGGCAATTCCTCGAATTCTGCTCCATTTCTTTATCCACATACCAAACATGCATGAAACTTACCAGAAAAAGTACCGAATTCTGCCAATTTTTCTGCCGGCATAATATCCGCCGGTGCCTACCCGGGATACCTGATGAAGGCTGATTCACTCGCATCCTTTGTACTGCTACATGTACTGTATCAGTGTGAGAAAGAACTTTGAAGGAGACGAGTTCGAGCATACAATAATGTATTGCCATGATTTCTACCCTGCTTTTCATTGAAAACACTATCTGCATGACCTCCGAACCCTTTACCATGCAGAACACCAGCACTAGTCAGGTGTATTGTACACAATTACATGTATGTAGCCTACATGTATATACTAGAACTGTGGTACAATCTTGTAGGTCTGCTCCTACCTCCGAAAGGATGCCAAATTATGCTCTAAATTTCAAACCACCAAATTATGCCAATAATTACATGTATGCCGGCATAATCCGCCTGTGCCTAACACGCACATGTACAATGTACAGTGTAGGTGTATACACCAGTCTCCGCTCCCTCTGCTTCTTTCTCACACGATTCGTGCTACGAATCTCCTTTATCCGATGCCCCTTTCTGTCAGCCAGATAGCTGGAATGCTTCCGATCGAAGTCCGAATCGAATACCGAACTCAATGAAGGAAGGAAGGACGGTGGGTGGAAGAGCATGATTGTACATGTATGAGATGTACTTCATGATTGTATTAATTTTAAGCCACCCTGAGGTTTATGGAGTTTAGTGGAGCGACACAGGTTCAAGGTCGGAAAGCCCCAAGGTTGTCCCAGCTCAGCGATTCACGTGCATTCTATTGTGCCGGAACTGGGAGTCCTAGACTGTGCACGCATTTGATGTGCACATTTCCATGTAGATCGCTGTGGCAGGGTGTTGTGATTTGTGAACAATGATTCAAATAATTGTGAGATTGCTCTGGGTCGCGCGATGCGCTCTCCAATGTGGGGTGAGTGAGTTCGTGCGTTCCGAAACGAACGCACGATTCGTGAGGCGTCTGTTTAGGTCTTTGGCCCCAGGCCTATACTAGTGGTAGGTGTAGAGCTAGAGAGGCCAGCAAATACAGTACAGTGATTGGAGCTAGAGATTGCACAGAGTATTGAAACAAGATGCACTCAAATATATGCACCCTCTGATGGTCTGTTAGACCAGTGCCCTGCAGGCAGTAGTTCCTTCCTGCCGTTTCTGTCTGTTGTAGTGTGTTTTAAAGGCCTGCTCGTGCACGAACAACATGCTCATACTGGTACAGAAAAACCTGTCAAGGCGACCACTCGGATAAGGTACAGTGAAACCTGTCTAAGACGACCGCTCAAGGGACCTTCAAAATGTGGTCTCTGTTACCAGGTGATCTCCTTATCCAGGGTCGTTGGACTAGAAATAGCATCCCTTGATCCTGGTTTCAGTGGTCTTCTTGGACAGGCGGTCGCCTTATCCGAGTGGTCGCCTTGACAGGTTCTACTGTACGTTGTAGTGGCCCGCCCGGACTGGTGGTCGCCTTGGCAGGTTATACTGTAGACTAGCCATCATGGTTACGTCTGACCTGACCTTACACGGACCCGCTTCAGAAGGTAATGAACGACGAGGGCGAGGGGCGGTAGAATACGATACACAGTGTACAGTGTACATGTAGTCACGAGAACGAACGGAGAGAGGTACATGTACGTTGAGAGAAAGAGACACCGACAAACAAGTAGTCAGATATAGAGACTCGGGGATAAAGAGATACAGAGAGTGAAAGAGAGAGAGAGAGAGAGAGAGAGAGAGAGAGAGAGAGAGAGAGAGAGAGAGAGAGAGAGAGAGAGAGAGAAGAGAGAGAAAAAAGAAGAGAGAGAGAGAGAGAGAGAGAGAGAGAGAGAGAGAGAGAAAAAGAGAGAGAGAGAGAGAGAAGGAGATTTGCACGCACTGAGCATGTTCCGAATCTGTTCTAAATGATTT